TGCTACGTAGTACGAGAGAAAGGTATTTTTCTGAAATGATTGAAGGCTGCAGCAACAATCTGCGTGTTCTGTTTTCAACAGTTAATAGATTAACAACCCCCCCTGTTCAGATGCCATTAGAGCTAACTTCCAAACGTAAATGCAATGAGTTTGCACACTTTTTCAATGACAAGGTTCAAGGCATCAAAAACGCCATTGTCTCCAATCCACAGATAAACATCCAACAGCCAGAAAGGCTCTCTGAGCTAACTTACTTTGCACCTGTAGATGATAAAAATGTCCAAGAAATAATCTCCAGTTTGAGCTCCTCCACATGCAGCCTGGATGTACTACCCACTAGATTTCTGAAGTCTGTTCTGAGCAGTCTGTTACCTTCACTCACACAGATAGTAAACATGTCCCTTCATTCTGGAATATTCCCAAAGGCCCTGAAAACTGCAGTCATCAGGCCCCTGCTAAAAAAGAGCAGCCTGGATGCTACGGTACTTAACAACTATCGTCCCATCTCAAATCTGCCATTTATGGGGAAAGTCCTTGAAAAAGTTGTCTACCTACAGCTTACTAGATTTCTTATAATTAACAACTCATTTGATATGTTTCAGTCCGGCTTTAGACCCCACCACAGCACTGAGACTGCTCTTGTCAAGGTTACAAACGATATCCGGCTGAACACTGACGCAGGCAAAGTCTCAATCTTAATCTTGTTAGATCTGAGTGCTGCCTTTGACACCGTCGACCATGAGATCCTCTTACAGAGACTAGAGGACTGGGTTGGAGTCGCTGGCACCGCCCTAAGTTGGTTTAGGTCTTACCTTGAAGACAGGAAGTACTTTGTGGAGATTGGAGACTGTGTCTCAGATCATATGGCCCTGACCTGTGGAGTACCACAGGGGTCGATCCTGGGACCTCTTCTGTTCAATCTCTACATGCTGCCGTTAGGTCAGTTAATACGCAGAAACAAAGTGTCCTATCACAACTATGCAGACGACACTCAGATCTATGTCTCACTGACTGCAGGAGAACATGGACCAGTGGACTCACTCCTTCACTGTATCCAACAGATTAGTGAGTGGATGCAAAACAACTTCCTTCAGCTAAACGCAGACAAAACTGAAATGATTGTCTTTGGTCCCCAGAAACAAAGAGAGAGCGTCATCTGTCACCTACAGTCTCTCTCCCTAAAACCTTCAAACAAGGTCAGAAATCTAGGGGTAATACTGGACTCAGACTTAAATTTTAATAGCCACATCAAATCAGTAACATCAGCAGCTTTTTACCATCTAAAAAACATTGCCAGGATTAAAAACATAGTGTCTAAAGCAGACTTGGAGATTCTTATCCATGCATTTGTCTCCAGTAGGTTAGACTACTGCAATGGCCTGCTCACAGGTCTGTCCAAACAGGCTGTAAAACAGCTGCAGTACATTCAAAATGCAGCAGCTCGAGTCCTGACTAGAACCAGGAAGTACGACCACATTAGTCCGGTCCTCAAGTCCCTGCACTGGCTTCCTGTGGCTCAGAGAATAGACTTTAAAACAGCTCTGCTTGTGTACAAATCTCTCCATGGCCTCGCACCAAACTATATTAGTGACATGTTAGTCCCATATGAACCAGCCCGGACTCTGAGGAGCACAGGGACTGGACTCCTGTTAGTGCCCAGAGTCAGAACTAAACATGGGGAGGCTGCTTTTCAGATTCATGCTGCTAAAATCTGGAACAGTCTTCCTGAAGATGTGAAACAGGCCTCCTCTCTGACAATGTTTAAGACAAGGTTGAAAACAGTTCTGTTTAGCTGTGCATACAACTGAGGGATTTTATATTTGTATCTTTCTTTTTTTTTTAATGTACCGTGATTATTTATGATTTTAATACTTTCTTATTTTGTTCAGCACTTTGAATTGCCTTGTGTATGAATTGTGCTATACAAATAAACTTGCCTTGCCTTGCCTTGCCTTGCCTTGCCTTGTTCTTTCGATTGACAGTTAGACTACATATTAAAGCTGGAGTCCCAATTTTTTTATGGTTTCACAAATACATTTTGTTAATTCCAAATGGAAAAAAAAAAGTCAAGCATACCTGCATCTAACGCGATGTCACAGCAGCCAAAAAAGCATGCTTGAGAAAAGTAGAGCAAAGAATACTCCCTCAGGAAATTGATTTCTATTATAGGTTCCATGTTTGTGATCACAAAGCTAGGTACCTCTGCTTTTAATTGTTTATTTTGTTTGCTTACACATTTGAAATTGCTGTGAATAGAATGCTATGATTCCAATGTTGTATACGAGAAAATAAAAAGCTTTGATATTATAAATGTCTCTAAAGAAACCAGAGATGGGATTAAATACACATTTTCTTTTTTCCCCTAACAGCGGTGCTATTATATGGCAAAATGGACGTAAGCTTTTATGAGTGATAATCATACTCTAAATAAAATATTATTTACCCACACATAAAAAACATATCAGGGGATTCAAACATATATACAGCTTGATTATGAAGCATATTGTTTATTCTAGAATCAAAGTAGCAATCAGATATATCTGACATCTTAACATGCTTATCCAAATCCTCACTCTGGTCGATAATGTGTCAGTGTTTGGCAACTTCTCCCGGCTCCTAACAGTGAAACGCTGTGATTTGGCAGAACTGGCAACCGCTCTGGCATCTGTCCTTGTCTCTGCTCAGTGACCGGAGCTGGACACTCTTCCCATTCACTTACAGCCCATTTCTGCTGCATCACGCCTGCGTTTGCACATCTGGATGCTCCGCTGAGTGTCTGTTGGCCGCGATAGCATCTGCAAATGTTTAGATTAGGAGCGAGCCTGTCTGTGCGATGTGCGGGTGTGGAGCAGCGGACTGGTGGAGCCACAAATGTTTTCTGATCTGCCAGTGGACAGCATTATCCGGTCGGAGCTAAGGGATCTGACGGCGGCTTTTGTTCATTGTTTTGACTAGTGTTGCCACAATAACATTTCAAACTTTATTCTATTATGAAAGCTCAGTATTCTTCAACTACAATTTTTAAAAGCAGGAATAACTTGAAAAACAACCCTCCACACAGACCTGGCCATCACAGAGATACAGTGTGACCAACTGAATACATCAAAACTAAGAGTGACGCAGGAAACATGACTATGCAGAGAGAAGACGGCAGTGGAAACACGCTGACGCATGAGTCTCATGTCACGTTGAAAACATCAAACACTAAGATGGCCCCTCCACACATGTTCACTAGAGACAACATGTGAACTGCTTTGAACCAGGACTGCATCAGGTCACAGGACTGAACAAGTTCAAAGGTCTAAATGAGGACTAAACCCTAACTAAAACAGGACTAAACTTGGTCTAAACCCTGACTACGACAGGTCTAAATTACATTTCAATAATGAACAAAAACAAAACCAGGTCTCAAGACTGAATCAGGACTAAACTCGGTCTCAAGACTGAATCTGGACAAAACCAGGGCAAATAACTAAACCAGGACTAAACCATGCAGCAAGATTGAACCAGAACTAACCTCTGCCTCAAGATTCAACCAGTACTAAACAACAACAGAAACATTCGTATAATATTTTATTTTTGTAATGGGCTTTACTATGAAAATAATATTAGGTCTATATTAAATTATTATTCCACAAGATGCAAGTAATAACAATAAAAATACATATTTTTACAATTGCTGGAACACAACTACATTAGTGGATTGTAAGATGGGTCCCACTGAGGTTAAGAAGTGTAATTAGTCATCTATGTGTAAGCTATGTATCAAAAAGGTATACTAAAAACAAAAATCCTTTTTAAGTATTTGGATTATTTTGCCTCCTAACAGTGATTGACTTTTCTGTCAGTCATTGAACAGTGTAACCCCATGATTTGACTGAGGATTCCCACTGATTTTAGGAAGTAATGATGTCTCTGCTGAGAGCGAGGAGCATTTGTCTCGGCTCACGCTCGAGTAAACGGTGTCAAACAGCTGCATGGAGCACATCTGGATTTCCATGATGCAACAGTAATGGACTAGTTTCTGACGGATGAACTTATGATACTCTCAAGTGGAGAGGGATGTTGTGAAAATCAGGAATAAAGCCGGTCAATCCAACCAAAATGACCCCTGTTAAAAGCAGCACATGGCAATGTCATGGTAACCGGCATAATTCCATAGACATTTTCTTCTCAAAAGCAAGAGGGTTTGTGGAATAACAGAATGCATGACATTTTGTGAACATCCTTTAAAGTTGCAGTGCCTAACTTTGAAACTACAAAAAACAGTTTCCTTACAGACCTCTGAAGATAAGCAGGGCAGGGTTATCAGTGCTATATTTATATATATATATATATATATATATATTTAAAAATGCATTAGTATGCAAACAATAACGTGTTTTCTCATCAGATGAACACAGAATGTTATGGCCTGATCTGTTCACAGAACTTGTTGGGACAAACAAATGAATTATTTATTGAAACAAAAATTGAATTCCCCAGCTTTCACTCTATATTTGATTTGTCAGAGAGTTGCCACAATACAGTGATAAGGGCAACACTAAATAATGTATTTCTTGAAGTACATATAGTACAAAATAATAAAAGAAAAACAATTCTCATTCCATACTCACTCAAGGTCATTCTAATATCATACAGGACTTAACCAATTTGAAATGTACAAATTATTCACACCCTGATAAAGCAGCAGACACAAGTGGGTGTTATTAATCTATAGCCACCTCCAATTAAAAACATGTATAATTGGGAAGCTTTGTGACCTCGAACTGCGAAAAGCGCTACATAAATAAACTCTACTTACTTCTAATCTAATCATGCAAGTGCCGGCAACACAAACTCCTGCAAACCTAAACTTTGTGAACAGTGTCCCCATTATCAATCTATTCTTTTGAGATTTGAAGCAGTATTTGTTCATGAGCACATTTGGCTTGAATGCCTCCAGTTTATGTATTTTACACAGCAATTATCAGAGTGAATAATGCATGGACCAGCCTCACCTGTGCTCCTGCGCCGTGTACTTGAGCAGCTCGGCTAACTGCAGGGGGTATTTGCAGATCTTTTGCACCGGAGTGAGCAGGAAGCCGTCTATGGCGATGTCGATCATCTGTTGCAGGAGACGACAGGCCTCGAAGAAGTGCTGGTAGCGACCGTCACGCATCAGCTTGCTCAGCTCCATGCACGCGTCCAGGTGGTTGTTACAGTACTCCGAGTATATCCAGAAGCCGTCTTGCTGCAAAAAGGTATAGAGGATAATGTTTTGTGCGGGGAAGATGGTGCATGTGGACCAAAACGGAAAAAGAGAATCAATAATCAAACTTCAAATGGTTTATTATTATGGAAGAAGCTGCTATGGAGCGTGTTTACAAAGCAGTAGAGAAAACCTGATCACACACTGACTACAATTTTAATGTCATGGCAAGGCAAGTTTTTTTTATAGCACAATTTATACACAAGGAAACTCAAAGTGCTGAACAAAGGCATTCAAATAATAACTAATCACAGTACATCAAAAAGAGTAAAGAGTATTTTTTAGATGCATGTGCCTTGACCTCTCTGGGTGGGTGGAGAGGTCCTTCCTCAAGTCGAGGAGTTCATCGGACCGTCGTGGTGAAGAAGGAGCTGAGCCGAAAGGCTAAGCTCTCAATTTACCGGTCAATCTTCGTTCCCTCCCTCACCTATGGTCATGAGCTTTGGGTAATAACGAAAGAACGAGATCGCGGATACAAGCGGTCGAAATGAGCTTCCTCCGCAGAGTGGCTGGGCGCTCCCTTAGAGATAGGGTGAGGAGCTCAGTCACACGGGAGGAGCTCGGAGTAGAGCCTCTGCTTCTCCACGTCGAGAGGAACCAGTTGAGGTGGCTCGGGCATCTGTTCCGGATGCCTCCTGGACGCCTCCCTGGGGAGGTGTTCCGGGCACGTCCCACCGGGAGGAGGCCCTGGGGACGACCCAGGACACGCTGGAGAGACTATGTCTCTCAGCTGGCCTGGGAACGCCTTGGGATCCCCCCGGACGAGCTGGAGGAAGTGTGTGTGGATAGGGAAGTCTGGGCGTCTCTGCTTAGACTGCTGCCCCCGCGACCCGGCAACGTATGAAGCGGAAGAAAATGGATGGATGGATGTAAACCTATGGTGACAGTCACAGACCATATTACCATAACTGGGTCTAACTTTTTTATATTGCCATGAAATACGTAAACCAGATACTACTGGGATACGGCCCCCAGATGCATTTAAGAGCACGGTTAAAGGCCATGCTTACTGTATATTAGAAATGTATGTATTTGTAGTCCATTCATTAGGCTACCCACTTCATCACTTGTTCGTGATGAATACACAGTCCCTCGCCGCACGGGTTTTATTGTTTTGTTTTGTGCGGCAAAAGCAGGAAACATGGGGTGATTAATTGGTCTGCGGAAATTAAATGACCTGAGCATGTGTGGAAATGTTTAGTGATATAAACAAAAGTGTGCTTAAAAACTGTATGTGTATTTAAAGCAAAATTACGAGATGCCTTTGAAAGCGTCACAAGGCTTCAGCTTCATTTGGTCACTACTCCGTATTCTTTTGCTTTGAAAATAAACTCAAAATAAAACAGCAAAACATGAAAAAAATCTAGCAATTAGCAAATGAAAGCACCATTTTAAAGGTGTTACATTTTTGTTGCACATGAAGCTGATGCCAATGCGCCGCTCTGAGCACTTTTCAACAATCAATCTGTTTTGAATTCCTGTGGAAAAGGTGATTATTCTAAACATTGAAAACCAGAAATATGTTTTGAGTTCTGCATATGATTAACTCAATGTATATGTATGTATGTTATTTTACGACTTTGTAGCTGTACAGTAGCTCACCTTAACATTAGCCAGTGTTGATCCTTCCAAACAGACCAATCCTAACAGTGTATCTGCCCCGAGTGAAGTGAGAATGTGATCACTGTGTATTAGTTACCTCTTCAAAATTCCCAAAACATGATAAAAGACTTGTTGCTGTCCCTCCATTCAGTAAAAAACCTGCAGTGTTTTTAATGTTTAACCCAAAGGTGTAACTGATGCTTACGTGTTCTAAAAAGCAGGGTCCTATTTCAGAGAGGTGTGGTTCCTCTGTGTTGTACTGCTTCTCTAGGTCACGCACAAAGCCCATCTGAAAGCGGTAGATGTCCTCGATGTTTCCAAAGATGACTTTCAACTGGTCATCGTTGAACATGTCCACGCGCTTCCTGCACTGCCGCAAATAGCCCTAAAACACACAGACAATTAAATATTATCATCAGAAAAATGTAGCAATAGTGAAGACCTTATTAAAAGATGTAAACAGAAAAGTGTCTCGTGTTTTTTGACACAGTGGGACGAATAAGGGATCTCTTAATCTTAATCTTAATGTTGAAATTCCCTGATAACCTGGAATTCATGAAAACAGTGTGAAAGGTTGCTGAGTTTTTAGTCCTGTGTCAGCTTTTCACCACAGGGAAGAAAGGAACAGGCCAAATCAAAAGGGTCAGAAGATGCAAGCAACAGAACAAAAAGTTTTCTTCTAAAATGTATATATTATATATGGATATCTATTGATCGTAGTGTTGGACGTGTTTTGGCAAACACGGATGTACAATCTCTGTACAATATGGCACAAACAGGGACATGCAGTCAAATATCCAACTACCTTGTGAAAGTTTATCATTAAGAATTGCACATTGTGAAGAAAAGGAGAAAAATACAGGATCCAAGGACATACAGAAACGTTCTATCCAAAATACAGGATTGTATTTGTATTTATATGGAATTTTGTATTTGGCAAACGTGTTTCCTGTATGGCATATGTCATATGATAATAATGTGTACAAAATAAGAGTTGAAACATTTGATAGCATGGACTTTTTTAAATGAGTCCAACATTTTGAATGTAGTTGACATTTTTTGAATAATAACTACTTGCAGTTCAGAATTCACAAAGACACTCACTATCACAGATGTAGGCCAGCAGAAAGGGCAAACCAGGACTAAGGTGATTAATTTCTTCCATATTTTTTGTAACTCCTTGAAATAAATACGTTAGGACACTCTTCCAATATAATTTAAGTGGATTAAAATTAACAGTGACTTCTGGACCTATTGTAAAGTCAAAAACAATTTGGTGTAGGTCAGACTCTTGGCCTTAATTTGTCAGTCCAATTCGTGCAGCTAATTAAATGGCCCGTGGTTTTGGAACTCAAGGAAGAGACTTGTAAGACGTCTTCTTTTTTTTCGCTTCACACTACGCTTCCCACCATTCTCTGTTTTCATTGTATACCAATTATATGCACTTAAATAATCCAGTCTTTGGTGGTTCAGATGATGAGGCTTAGTCACTCTTTGGCAACAGTTTTAAAGTGAAAGGTCTAATGGAAAAATAAAGTGCAATAACGCTAGATTTCTTACAAACAAGTATGATTGATATGAAAGCAGTTTGATAACCGACTATTTGTTATGTCCAAATGAACAAAATTGTTTTTATGCTCATTAACCAAGTTGAAGTTAGTTTGAATCATGCATGAGTACCCTGAAGTTACTGAAATGAAATCCAGACACCATACACCTTTGAGAATGGCCCCTACCCCAGGGAATCCCAAACTACATGCCATTTCCTTTGAGAACTTATATTTTGTTGAAGAGGAAAACTATCCTATTCAATTCACAGCAATGGAAAGCTTCACATACACATATTAAAACCTATAGATCAAAGAGAGATTGGCCGCAATGTTGAGTTTCCCTGGAATACCATTTACACATATGTGATAAGGAAAAATCATTTTCCATCTCTCTGTATGCGTAACTACTCGCGAGACGGCAGGATTTCTTGCAGGCGTGACATGCCAATGAGCGGTGGTAAATATAAGCGTTGACGCACATATTTAAAAAGATGGGTTTCTATGATAAGATCTTGTTTATGGAGGATTAAGTCAAGATTATGAGATTTTCCCCTCAAAATCTTGGATTGCTGTTCAGTGAAAGAATTCAGTCAAGCTCAATATTGGATGTCTTTACTACCAGGAATTGGACAGGGTGGTTACTTTCTGCACAAAAATGGAGAAATTAATAAATAATGCCACATGGCTGTATAAAACCAGCGTAATCACTCTGATCACTTGCTCCGTGTTATGAAGTGTGACATGAGACGCATCAGTGACTCACTGAGTAATGACAAATTCAATCATCGGCATCGCCCGGCCACACAAGAGGTTTCAGATTCTGAAGCTGTGTCTTTAGTAGGGGTGGGAACCTCAGGGTACCTCATGATACGATACTGGATATAAAGCTCACGATAACGATTATATCACATTTTAAGTTTTAATTAAGTTATTAACTAATTCTCAACTCTGGATTCAAATACAGCACATATGGTCTATTGGCAGCAGGTCAGCTGATAGATGGAGATGTGTTTCTTTGGCAATATCTGGGTCATAGAACAATATGTTCAGGTCAAAGAAGATTATTACGCAATGCGTAATGTAGCCATATATTGAGCATTGGTACTAATTAAAAAAATATATATATTCTAAACAAATAAATATATATATATATATTTTTAATCGATACTTGGCAAAAGCATATTGATAATCGATCGCGTGAGAAAGTATCATGATACATCACCATATCGATATATCGTCCTAGTCTTTAGTAACAAACACCATTTTGTGAATGTTTGGAGTTTGTGTGAAATCAATGACCCGTGGCTCGAGCGGCACTGGGAAAAGTAACAAAAGCATCTCACGTCACGAACAGCACAGCCTCTCATTGTATCATGGGACACAACATTCAAAGTACACTTTTGACAGCGCCCGTGCTTTGCAGAAAGAAGGTCTGGGGTTTGATCCAGTCTGCATGTTCTCCCTGTGTCTACCATACACTGTATGATAGGACTGGTTGGTAATGGTTGGAAGGCCTGGTGCACCAACTGTGCCGAAAAACCACTAGTGTCATCCCTGTGTGTGGAGTAACTGGAATATAGACCAAACTGTAGCCCCTTGTGTGACCTTGGTCGGTGAAATGCGCTACATAAAAGAAAAGATCGCTTACTTAGTATGTCTTCCTCAAAACATCATATATATACAGTCAAGAACACATTGATTTTGGTGAAGACTGCATGACTGCTTGGATTGTGGTGGCATAGTTATATTCAGCATGCATCAAAGTTAGCACTAGCTTTAGCTTTGAGACAGAAAAGTAACACAGTCACCATTCACAGTTTAAAAGTCCATCACTGGTACGTAACTTTTTGGGGCAGCATCCCAAACCTAATTCATATTTTTCCAAAGACTATTCCACAGTATGGTGTTGAACGTATGGTAAGTACATCCCATATCTGAGGTGACAAAATGTTCAAATTCAGCTTTTTTGAAATTCAAGCAAAGCCAAAGATCTCCATGGCAGTAAAACAGATGGTAGACCACATCAGAAAAATTGTGCAATGCAGCTTTAAGTATTTATTACTATTAGAGTGACTTGGCAAAAACCTCATAGAGAGAGAACAGGACATACTGAAGCTACAGCGAGCGAGCTATTATGTGAGTGTAATGTCTAAAGTTAAAAGGGGCCGAACTCGCCTACCCCTGTGATCCCTGCCTCATTAATCCCCCTCTTCCAGTTGGTCCTGTACAGCATGTTTTGTATTGTTGTTTTCGTACCTCGCAGATGTCCTTGAGGTGTTTGATGTAGTGTCTCTCTGTGCTCATGATCTCGTTGATGACGTTGGCTCTCATTTGGTCGCGGTTCTGCAGCGGAGAGCCCAGACACAGGCAGTCGTTGGTCGGGTCCAGGTGGCCATTTTGAACCTCGCTCGTGCCCTCGGATGGGTCCCCTCCCCCGTCCTCCTGGTTCACCCACAGCTGAGGACACAGGTATGCCAAAAAGAGAGAAAGAAAAGAGAAAAAAAGAGAAAAATCTCACATGGGAGGCTACAGTGAAGCAGGTGCAAACTTTAAATATGAGGACCAACAACGTATACAACAGGACACTCAGGCCTCACATGTTGGATTGCATCAACAAAGAGCTACGACTAAACCCTAACGGCTCTAAATCAGACTTATGACACACGTTTTTCTAATTAAAAAGTCCACTCATGAGTTAGCATCAATGTCATGGGTGTTTTTGTTTTTTCTATTCACTGAACTGAATAGAATATACTGTAGATATGTGACTTTGGCTTTTCATTTTTTATGTGAATTAATGTGAAAGTCATGAATTAAAACTTGAATGAAACAAATACAGATGATCACTATTGGTATGGTGTAACAAGATGCTCTTTCAACTGTGATTAAACGTATCATTTAAAAATAACAATAAAAAATGGTAGAAGATTCAACAGAATATGGCTGTTTTAAAAAGATTTTTAATACATCCAGAGTCCAAAGCCAAAACTAAAAAGGAATGTAAAATTGTGGAAACGAATCTGTAATTTACAGACAATACCTCTAAGTCTGCAATGATACACGACTAAAGCTGCACTGTGCCCAACTGTCTGCAGCATATCAAGGGAAATATGTGTTTTATTATATTCTCATATTGGTCTTTTAATTCTGTCTGTACATCTGTCTCTAAGGAAACAAACTCTCTTTTTGGTTGTCAACAGGCTAAAAACTGTCTTTGCTAATATTGTAGACTGTATATAGCTGGATAGTGCTAACTGCTAGCTCTATGAAGCCAAATAGGGATGTGTTCATGGGTGAAGTTTTGCTCTATCACTTTGGCTCCATTCACTTACATTGAAAAGTAGTCCACTTACACTCTAACCTTTTTTCTTAAATAATTTTTCTCCATTTTTCATTCAAATGAGTTTTATTCTGGCTAAATAAAGGTTATATAAGAGAATAAAAAATGAAACAAATCTGTGGTTTAACACTTTGCATACCCTGATCTTATCTTTGTAAATCCTCTAGCTTCTGTCCCAGAATTCGACTTTGTCTGATTGGCTCTACTGTATGGTTGCCAGGGAGTTACTATGAGATAATTTGGCTCCAGAGTCCAGTCCATAGAGCCTGTTTGAATTAGCTATACACAACTCAATCCAGCAAAACCAAATGCTATGGGTGAGGTTAGCACTCGGTTTATCACCTCCTGGTCTGTGGTATCTAATTTATAATATTTGGTTTGACCTCGGTCTCTGTACACCGACAGCTTACAGGTAAACACTGAAAAAGAACAACGGCTGCATGCTTAAATCTGATCTCTGGTGTTGTGTGAAGCACTTTGTAACTGTGTTTTGAAAGGTTTAACATGTTACCAAAACTGTGTTTTTGGTAAAAGTGCAAGACTCAAAAATGCCTCTTTGAAAATCTCCCTTTGGCTACACACCGCCTGTGATGTTAAAGTAAAATTCAGCCTAGTTGTCGGTGCAATCCAACCTCTCTTTAGTCTTTATTTAGTCCTGGTGTCTTGGACGCAGAGGCAGACTCGTGGTCCAGCATGTCGCCAAGGTTAGGCACACACTGCCAACCACTCCACAGTCCACAAAGCCTCTTTCAGTCGCTGCCCAGGGGGATCCTGTGTGCAGCTCTGGCAACCGCTCACTCACCATTAAACACAAATAAACAAATGAGCGGCTCAGTTAATCGTGCTCACTCTCAGTTTTAGTCGTGGAACCAGATTCATTCTGCTCGTCCGTCTGTGACACCCACAGCTGCACCACAACATCTACTGCTATTCACTGTCCCATGTATATGTGTTGGTGCTGCTGAAAACACGGAAAATATACTGATTATGTGGCAACAAAAGAGTCTAAGATCACACCCAATAACTACAAATTACTCCTCTTACTGATACTACTACTCCTGCTCATCCTCCTACTTGTCCTCGTTGTCCACTTGTCTTACTCCTCCTACTACTCCTCATTGTCCTCATACTCCGCCTCCTCATATACTACTACTACCACTACTACTATTACTTCTTGTTTTTCCTATGCTTCAACCCTTAATCCTTTTTGGTATTTAATTACAGCAACTCGATCTCATACAATCTCTTATACTTACCACAGCTTTCAAAACACTAACACAATATTTTGACATATAATGGAAACCGGAAGTTTACATTCACCATTGAGGAAGGTATTAGGACAGTAGTTTACAAATGTACGTTACTATGTATTTTTTGTAGAATGTGGGGAAGCCCTGGGGAGACTTAGCTGGCTAAACTGTAGATGTATTTCAAGGCTATATCTCTGCTTTGTAATTTGGGGGCAACATGGGGAATCAAATGATATCAGAACTAGATAGTAGATGTACCCATGGTTGGTTCATCATGGGGTATAATTTCCAAATGCTTGTAAGGTGGTGTCAAACTGTCCAGCTTCTGTCTCATACTGTATATAAGCATGTTAGGGTCAAAAGCGTGCCAAGTAACAAAATAACTGAGGTTGTTCTTTTCTTTCAAACTGTGAGTAAAATATTATTATACGTCTTTTCACACAGTGTACGTAAACTTGCGGTTCCCACTGCATATCACTGCACATACAGCACAGATTTACAAACATTGCAAGTCCCTCTGCTGCCTCATTTAACACTGAGACGGAGACAGAGCGTGAGAGTGTGTGGTTTCCGATGCCCAGAAGCAAACACCTGATGACACACAGTTTGCCAAGAGGACATCAAAGAACCGGCGGTATGATGCCAAACACAAGATGGAAATGCAGTGCCACAGACAAGCCGAGCAGCGGGTGGTGCCACAGAACCACCAAATTGAGTCAACAGTAAAACATGTGAAAAATCTATATGCATTTGTAAAGACGTATCCATCATTATCGGCATCGTTTGTGTTCGGTCTTTACTTTTGACTCATGTATGTCTTTGAACTACTCATTTGCTCGATGGAGATACAGTATGTGAATGTTTTGGGAATGACGCAGTAACATTTATTAGCAAGAGGTGGGTGGGCGGGCAGGCTGGATGATTTGGTGGATGACATTTGTTGGTAAATAAAAACGCACCTTTGTCGTAGTGTTTTGGAACCTTGGAGTTGCTATAGGGTTGATATAGAAAACCTGTTTTGTGTGGGACTGTTGAGGGTGGGGGTCCACCTTTAGGAGAAAAGACACAGAGAGAGAGAAGTGTTTTCGGGTGGGCAGTCGGGTCAGCCTGTCTGCCCTGCCCCATCAGGAGAGGATTATGGGAGAGATGGTTGAATTGTGAGGGAAGATGACCATGGAGGGTGTGCTCAGTGGAGGAGTTCAACCTTGATGGGTTGTGAGTGAGTAAATGACCTGTGTGACAATGATTTAGGAGTTACATGTGATACAACCAAAGAGTAGACTGGTCATGACACACACGTTTAGAGATACTATAGAGCAGCCATTCCCAAAGTCAGTAACACCGCGGCCCCCTTAAAAAATCTGACAGGTCTGCGTTGCCCCCCGAAATAATAACCAAGAAGACAAAGTTAAAAATAGGCTCTTCTCGTTTGTTTTATTTGGGGGAAATAGCCTCTGCTACAAACATGTAAATGACGCACCTCATTTTGTAATACAAAAATGAACACAATTTGATTATTCAAGTCAAATAATGAACACAAATATTTTAATATTAAAAACAAAACATTATTAATTTAACATACAATAATTATTTAAAACTTCTCGCCCCCCTTGCAATACCCCACTTTGGGAGACACTGCTATAGAGTTCCCTCCCTGCTGATACGACTGGAAATATGTACCAAAAAAAAATGTTTTGAATTCTATTAATTTGGGTTGTAATTAAAGCTGGGGTACCTAAAGTTCTTCAGTTTTCCTCAGTTTTCACATACATCAAATCTTTGTTACCTCATTTGGATGAGCTTTTCCAGGCAAAAAAGTGAAAAGCGATGACCACCCTCATAGACAATCAGCTCTCAGCCTAAAATATCAAATAGTGACTCACAGGGCTCTTTCTTACAACCATACAAATGATAATACGTTTTCTAATAAGATAGACAGTAAATTGTGATCAGGTGACATCATTTTGTGAACAGAGAATTAAGTACCCCAGCTTTAAAGGATATTGTGATAATCAATGTTGTGTTCATTAATCCATTAGTTATTTAGATTACAAGAGGCCAGTGAATATGGGAATATTTACTGTATACCATAAATAATTTGACCAAAACAAAGCTAAACTGATACCACTCGAGAACATGTTCAAAGAGATGAGTTGGTTGTTTGATTAAAAAGTTTTTTTTTTTACACTTTTCATTTGACAGTAATTACAGCTCAGTCATATAATCTCTTTGCATAATGTTTAAATCTGTGTAAGCAGCCTATACTTACACACTACAGCCTAAAAACACATAGTAAAAATTATCTAAAGTCTTTCTTTAGCACCTTTCCAAATTGTTGCCACAGAAGCGGGCCCCCAGACCCTCCAACCACCAACCACACACTCAGCACATTCATACCTATTGTACATGTTTTTAGTGTTTTTTACAGGAGCACCCTAAATACTAGGCAAAGAGGGACAATAAACGCAACCGCCCCACTCTTTTCTGCCATGATCCTGAAATTGTCTTGCTTATCTCCCAGGATGCAACGAGATCAGGCTAACAGCAGCTATTGCCAAGTTGTTTATAATAATAGTAAATATTATTTTTCCTCAAGAACAGGCCTGTGAAGATAATAACTACATTGTTATATATTTTGGGCTATTTTTAGCTATTTTTTGTAGTTTCTTTGTAAAATTGTGAAGTTTTAATTTTCAAAGGCTCAAAGAGACAAAAAAAACCAACTTAATTCTGCTGGTTATTTTCAGCATGCTTTGACTGAAATTAGAAAACAAAGTTTCATACTGACAGTATCCTGCTTTATATTGTACTTTCATTGTTTATTGCAATAATTTACAAATGTATCGTCTGTCAACATTTGTTATCGTGACAAGCAATAATTGGATGAATCAAAACATAATGCATTTTTAAATCTTGATGAAATGACTGCTTTAAATTCAGAGATAAGCCAACAAGAACCGTAATCAGAATAGTAATAATGCTATGAACTTATAAAGGCATCATAATTAGTGTATTTGTGATGCTCATGATAAAACTCACCAATTAGTTTCAATTGGGCGAGTGTGTGCGCACAGTTCTACAAATCATGAACTGCCTATGGATGGACAATGCTAACCCGCTAGTTTGATGAAAGTTGAGGAAGTTTTGCTCCTACTCGCTACGGCTCTTATGGATTTAGATCGAAAAGTAATCTCCTCTGGCTCAGTAACCATCAGTGTCACAATCACCATTTTAAACAGTTTTTTAAAATCTGTAGTTTAGTGGATATTTTTCAGTCTTTGTATCCAGATTTTAGCCTTTAGGATTGACCAATCAGATGCCTTCATTAATTTCAGCTTGCCTTAGCATCCATCAAAGCAGCACTTTAGTTTGGATCTGCCCATGTGTTTTGGCAAAAAGCTAATCTTGCCATAACAAATCCCCATATAAGGAACTTGGCTCCATACCTGCACGTGACAGCCAGATCCTGTCAGAACTCTGAAACTAAGCGGGGCATGGGCCAGGTTAGTAATGTGATGGGAGACCTCTGGGAACAACAGGTGCGACAGTGGGGCGGCTGCGGCTGTGAAGTGCCAAACTGTCGCTGTGTCCTTAGGCAAGACACTTCACCCACAAAGCCTAGAATGAGTCTAGTGTGTGCGAGAACGGTTGGTGGTGGTCAGAGGGGCAAATGGCAAATACTGATTGCCCCAGGGCATCTATGGTTACAGTCGTAGTTTATCACCACTGTGAAAGGAATAAAAAGAAGCGTCTTTGAGTGTCCAAAAAAAGCACTATATAAAACTGATACATTATTATTTATCATTATTATATGATTTTCCCCTTTGCTGCTTGCACTAATGAAAAGCTAGTTATTATACTCGTTTTCGTATTGATTAGTATCCATCTAATTCTGCCTACTCAAAAGCCCGAACATATTCATATGAATTCGCTCTGGAGGTGATCCTTCAAACCTTGCCGATCTGACCGTGCTCAACCACTTATTGTTTAGTGGAGCCAACAAAAGGTGAGATAATGTAAATGTAAGTGCGTTTCAAGGACATGAGCTCAAGGTGACGCCAAAGTAAAAGGGGACATCAGCATCTTTTGTTTTGTTGCCCCTGAACACAGATAAGGCACTTAGCTGGCGCTTTCTACCCCTCCTGGGTGTCTCTGTTATTAAACCAGGCAATATTCTGTAAGCGTAACTTTGTGTTGTGGTAATCTGCTTTGTTTAGGGCACGTGGCATCCGCATGTGACTTGCGTGTGTAAGTAGGTTGCGGGAAATTAGAATAATGCGAAAGCTTATGTTAATAGTTAAATAATGGCTCGAAAACCCTAGGCTATTTCATGTTTAAGCATTTTGGATAAATCAGAGGTAAGTACACATAATCTGGATTGGAATAACATTATCGTTTAAATGAAAACGGCAATGCATATTTATTTAGATACTGTCTGTCAAATTAAATTACCACCCAGACCTGCATGTTATAACAGGGTATGCATTTTTTATACCTTTCGTGTAACAGCTAGAATGTACAATTTGACTGTGTGCATCTCTGCGTCGTCTCTGCATGCTATTCCCTGCACACTAAATAAAGGTCTTCCCTGAAAATGAGATATTATATTTCAGTGGGTATAAATCAGGGGAACATTGGTAATATAAGTAATACCATTCGAATCATTATCATTCTTCTACTGCAACCAACAACACAAGCGACTACAGCTACTTGTCTCACTGCCAATTATTTGACTTAAGTAATGACTTGATTGTAAGTATCAAAAGTTACTGATCCCACACCGGATATACTTCCAGTAAGCTATATCTGAGAAAGTTGACTGTTTTCAGAAAGCCCTGTCAAGACTGTTCTTCAGACAAAGCAGACTGAAAAAACTCACTGTCGCAGACGTCAGACTGATAAACAGAGAGACTGACGGTGACAGTGGGGCGGGCCGTGAGAGTGCATAAACTACAACATCAATTAGACATTTTAAACTTTTGGAACCTGTGCTATGTTTACAGAACAGCACCTGAAAGTGTCCAGTGGCCTAACCTGTGTATAGAGGACACATATGGCGCAGCAGCAAAGTTATAAGAGGCTACACAGAAGAATTGTAAGTAAACGTTGCATTTCTATAGTGTAGCTATTTTCTTAGACATAAAACCTTTACATGTTACATTCATGGTATCAATTGTATGGTAAGCATTAGTGGAGTTGTCACTAGAGACACTGGGATTCTAATTAAGATACTGCTTCGTAGGATAACCACCTTGAAAAAGTAGATTAAAAAGTAATTCAGACAAATACTTCTATAAGAATTGCATTTTGTTTACCTCATATCTGTATCACAAATCACACCTTGGTCGTGTTTATAGTAATTAAACGTACATACAGTAAAGATTATAATCTTTAAGGTTAAGGCAGGTCATGGTCGATATACTTTATTATCCTCGTAGGGAAATGTGTTGTTTGCCTTTGACCCATCCTTAAATGTCACTAGGATAACCAGTCAGATGCAGTGGTCACTACGGCGCAGCTCCCAGGGACCCCTCTCCAAGGTTACTTTCAATTGGGAATAGTTCTACGGTGAATGTTTTAGCAGATGTAATCGATTGAAGCCATGACACCATTATTCGACCCTCATAATATGATTGTTGTGAGTAGAAAGATTGAACTATGGAGATATCCAATGTAAAGTATTATAGTAAATTTCACCCTTAACTATTCAATTGCACTCCAATAGTAGTAAAAGGTTCTAATTAAGCATCTATCTAACTAAAAGTATCGTTAGGGTGTCTATGGGGTCTAAACACATTTTCTTTTCACACAAATATTTAGCCATTACAAATTACTACACAGTTCTGCAAAAAACATAACAGTCACAAAACCCACCATTGAAGTAATGCATTCAGTCACTGGTTAACAGTAGGAACAGGGTCATTTCACAATCCTTATGTTTTGTATAGTGTGAAGTAGCACAGTGTAGGCGTGCACTGTGTCGTACTCACCCGTACGAAGCTCGCGGGGAACCAGCCCTCCTCCTCGTCGATCTGCCCCCACCACCAGTCCTTGTTGGAGGCGTCCAGCACCTTGATGACGTCGCCCGCTTTAAAAGCCAACTCGCGGTCGGCCATGGTCACGTGGTCCCATACTGCCTCCGCGTTCACGATCGACCCGCCACTTATCAACTGCACAAAGGCACAGGGGAAACTTATGTAACACTGTTATTGTCTCAAACTTGAATAAAATTAGTCAGAAGTGATTCCAGAACAATGCTTATTAAAGCCTCTATGGTAAACCCACTCATATTACTCAATAGCCACAACCCACTATTAAACTACAATGTCTTGTCAAAAGTGCCCAAAATGACAGCACAATCATCTATCATTATCTACAATCTTTTGAGAAGGGAATATCAAATAGCTGTGTGTATGTGATTATTTACATGAAACGTTTAGGTAAAGACTGGGGTCCTTATCTATGGCAGCCTACTCTAAGGAAGCTGTGAACCTACAGTAAATGCTCAATTGTAAAATGTAGAGAAATAACACTATGGTTATTTTCTGGTAATGATAAAAGCTATACATGAATTGTTTGCATACTACGTTTACTGTATGTACTAAGCTCGTGCCAATGTCTTGTTTGTTGTGCTAGTTACATAAGAGCAAAATAGAGACTTCCAGATGACTGACTCTTAAGGGACCCATGTCCCAAAGCATACTGTAATCTAACTGCAACACGACTGGAGACATGGCTTATGAAACAGGAGCAGAAAGAATCACTGAAGTGGACTACATTCCTAATAACTACCCTTTCTGTATCAGACAATCCCATTTGTATTGAAACACTATTTTATAATAAGTATGCTTGTAAGAGTAAGTAGTAAGCATGTAAGTAGTAAGGCATGTTAGCATAAGAGATGTTAGCACAGTCCAGCCAGAGACCTGAACTCCACAACATTTCCTATGCGCCCCTTCACTAGTTGGTGAGGTGGCTAAGACAACAATTAGTAAGCTGGTAAAGCGCCCATTGTGTATTTTTTCATCCAATACAATGTTGTTTACAGCATCTATTGTAAAACCCACTCGCATTGTTCAATATTGCACTGCCCACCATTGAAGCGTGGCATCTTATGATTTGGAAAACTATTATAGCACATTTATTAACACAGACCACAGCAACACAACACAATAAGTGACAACACAAAAAGGCAGAGGCTTCAGTGAAGAAACAACAGAGTGTTTGAGGAGCAGAGTCAGTAATTGGCCCATTATGACATTATTCTAATCACTTATGATAATAGGATAGGAATGCAAATCAGCAAACATACATGAGGGAGTCTCTCTGGCTTCATGCTGCCATAGACGCTTGTTAGTTGATCTGCAGCAACAACTTTGACAAAATGAACCGGAATGAGTCATCAACTTTTGAAATTGATTTTAACTTCATGAATTATTAACATTACGTAACGCAGTAGGTGTGTTGTGATTACATGAGGAGAGCACAGCGTGAGGTATTGACCGTGCATCTTCGGCTGTCAGAACAATCTTCACGTGGGATGCAGAGGCCCGACACCGGTGTCAAACTTAATTATCCTGACAAATGTGCATAATATACAACGTTTGGCATACATTAGTCTAATACTAATAAAGGAATAACAAACACATAAAAACAATAAGAAATCAATGTCGCTTCAACAAATGCATTAGCTAATGGGTAAAGGGATATTAATGCAGGCCAGTGAGTTAAATTAAAGCTGGGTAAATGTAAATAACATGTCAAACCAAACATAGAACTACAAAATGAAATCCATCAAACTGGTATTAGTATTAGATAGCAATATGGCCTACGTGCAGGACTGTACAAGGACTCTACAAGGACTCCATGTTATGACTATGATTTGACTGTCTCTTTGTGACACGTATGTCTTTCGATGTGTGACGTGACAATGACTATATAAACTGTGTACTGCCTTTATTCTGTCTGGGAGAAAGAAACAGAGTAAACCAGTGGAACTTGAGAGAAACTTAAATAAACTTCCAGAGTTTGGCACACCACGATCCGTCTCTGTCTGTTGAATCCTAACACTAGTTTAATTGAATGCATGTAAATTTCTTTTCCTGAAATAAAAGTGGAAAAAGACAGGACCGTCCTCATTCAGCCAATCAGCTCTCAACCTAAAGCATCCAATAGTGGCTCACAGGGCTCTTTCTTACAATTTACATGAGTACAAGAGTCTGTCTATTGGGACAAACATGTAATATTTATGTATGAATGGGGTACACAAAAATAGTTGTGTACCCCAGCTTTAATGCAAACAATACAGGCCTGTTTTGTGTATTACTTGTATAGTTTGGTTCAGTAAATGTAAGATGACACAATGCTCCATCACAAAAATTACAGCACCGCCCCCTTTAAGACCTCAAACACATTTCGCCCCGACCATAAAAATAAATCGCCAGAGGCCTGGGTTTGCCGCCAGTGCCCGAGTTTGACATGTCTCCTCCAAAAGGTTGTTCTCATTAAAGGACAAAGGCTCCCAAAATACACCCAGGCTCTGCGATCCATCAGGCTGCATGTCTTAACTATTGACATCCAACAAACTGGCTCCACCTGCTCACACCATCTCTTTGGGCTACGCCTGCCTGTTCCCGTATAGCTGTGATACTATTGTTCTCTCCAAAGTCGTGTTCGGCATTCCCCTGGTCCGGAGCTAACCGTGCCTGCGCTCCCCTCGGGCGGTGGGCACAAACGCCACCGCTAATCAAATCTGACAGGAGCTGCTTAGGCTCTAGGTAAAGACTTATCAAACGCTGAGGGACCGCACTGCTGCAGAGAGGGAGGCAGACTAGAATGGGTTATGTGATGGTGTAACAATGCAAAAGGTACAATACAGCGTCGGGGGGGAACAAGCAAATACAGCCTTTGTGCCAGCCTGGACGTATACTGGTCGCACCGCTAGGAGATTTGGTGGCGAAGGGAACGACTTCAAAGCATGTGTGACTGATTGTGCTTTGAAACATGATGAAAATAGTTGTAAATACAATACATCTTTAAAAGGAAAGGCTTCAGGCGGTTTACTGCTGGGTTACAAGTGTTGAATAATATTACAGCTGAAAGTAATGATTATTTTCGAGTTGGCTGAGTATTCTTCTGATTAATCGATTGGTTGTTTGGACCCGAAAGCTCAGTGAATATGGGATTTTTAAACTTTCAAAGGATGCCCCCGGAAAACTTGTTTATAGAAGTGATTTGGTACACATTGGGTGTTTTGATTATAAATACTTTCTTACAATCCCATTACCTAATATGGAGGACCATGGCTGCCAAAAAAATTAATATATACAGAAATAAATAAATAAATAAATACAGAAATAAATGCACTTATTCTCATAATTGCATGCATTTCTTTGCAAATTTTATATTTTTTAAATGTATTTTTTTTATTTCTGTATATATTTATTGTTTTGGCAGCCACGGTCCTCCATATACCTAATACGTTCTTAACCTGTAATGTTCATTAAACTGTAATTATTGACTTTAATATTATAATTTAGGGCTCAATATTTGTCGTCTGTATATTTCCTTCGCAATCATCATGCAAATTACCATTATCCTTGTGATAAGATACAATTGGAGCCGAATTAGTGACTGTTAAGGCTCTTTATTGCTTAATTTAGTTCTTTAGTTTGTTTCAGCTTATGGCTTTTAATGATAAAGAAGAAATTAAGAATGATTCACAGGTTCTTTGTAAGAATAAATCATCAATCAAAATGGCCGAGTTCATTCTGCAGTTATTCTAGAAATATCTGAGTCATAAAACCTCTTCTCAGCAAGTTTAAGTTTATGTAAAGCTTTGAAACTGATTCACCTCACCTTGTCCCGTCCTTGTCAGCGAATTATTTATCAATTACTAAATAAGTTGATGAGTTGTGTTTACTCAAATAACTTGTTCCAGCCCTAAACTATTTTAACTATTTTGCATTAGTTATGAATACTGTCTCTGTTGTATGTATCAGCTTCTAATGGATAATGGAATTCCCCCTCATTAGACATATTAAATCCACCCATCCACTTAGAGTATGCAACGGTGTCAAACTGATTTGGGTCGGGGTACAAATTTCAAAAAGTAATAGCAGGGCAGGGGCCAAACGTGCTTTTGTTGATTCATAATTTCATTTTCTTTACATTATAATCAATCAATCATTCAATCATTCATTTGTATAGCACAATTCGTGCACAAGGCAATTCAAAGTGCCCCACAAGAAAAACCAAAAAACACAGATCATAAATGCCTTCAAAAGTCAATAATTATACAATTATTTAACTATGAAATATTAAGATAGAGCAGTTTAAAAGTATTGGGTTTAAAATACATAAAAAAATGGGTTTAAAAAAAAGAAAAAAGCCAATAAAAGTAATAAGTAATACGAAATAGAATCAGTCAGTTGTATGCACAGCTAAAGAGATATGTTTTCAGCCTAGTAAAGGAGTTTTGATATTATTGTCTGGTAAATGAGTTCAGTTACTGTTTGTTTGGATTCAACCAAAACTGGCTTTCAATTGTAGACTGTTGGGGTGTAATTAAGTGTTGGGTTCAAAATTTTGAATGGATCAAACGACACAGTTGTTTTCTTCGTGAGGTATAACACACCTCAAGCCGTATTAACATAAGGCCATCAATTCTGCAAGTGAATCATCATAACTGAAAACATGCTCCCTCGGGCATTGTGTTTGTCACGCGTGATCTAAAGCAAGAAGAGTTTTTTAGATTATAATTATTATGGTTTATAGTGTTTTCCCACCGACAAAATGGCCCTCGATAAGATTCTCTATCATTACTTTCTCTAATACATCCAGATGTTTCACAGCACTTTAAAAAAATGAAATTCTATCTTGATCTATGAAGCCAGAGATCAAATGATGTCTTGTACTGTGGTGAGCCGGTACTGCATTAAAGTTATTATCCCAATGTATATACTTTCTCTCACACAGGCATTTTTGCTGCTATTTGACGCCAACTCACACTTTCCCTTCAGAATATAAATGATTCTATAGTGTATTTCTTAAGCCGCTGCAGCAGTTTTTGTGCGTGGCTGTTTATTTCATCCCGAGCCCCTTGAGGATCTAAAGCTCTCAAACTCAAAAGCTTTGCTGACCCTTAGACCTGTATGCAGGCGTGGATTACTGGGAAAAGGGGACGGAGATGGGGGCAGCAGAGTGATTGGAGAAGCTCGCTCACGCCTCAGAGGAGTCTCCATAGCCACAGATGGTTCAACAATATCGACAGGCCACTGATGGGACAAGGCAAGGACATCTCACATGCAGCTATATTACCGTAATATCTGGACTATAAGGCGCACCAGTATATACTCTGCCTCACCTAAATGTTAAAAGAAACTCAATTTTGTCCACATATAGGTCACACATGATTTGCAGGTTTTCATGTTGTAATGTAGCAGATAGATGAATGTTTCAACTGGTCACAGCATGATTTATAATGGAGAAGGCACTTATAAGCTTTTTGCTTCTGCCTTCTCCTTTTGAGCTTTCTTTCTTTCTTGAATCATATGTGCATGTAAAATAATATAAAGTACATTGTAAAACTGCTCAAATAACAATACTACTACTACTACTATTTAATGATAATGTGTTTAACAGCTTAACCGTTAACTTCCAAGCCAGTACTCATTCACTTCCATCTCTTTTGACAATAAACAAGTGTCCTACAGCTACTAAAACAACTCTACCACAAAAAATACACATAATGGCTGCATCGCAATATAAGCCGCAGGGTTCAAAGAACTACATAAAAAGTAGCATCTCAGAATCCAGAAATTATGGTACGTAAATGTGTCCTCAAAGTGCATCTACACTATCTTCTTTCACCCACAGATATTATCATTCATAAACAATTGTATTTGAATCGCATTCTGATATTAGTATGTTTGTAATGGAAGGCTCGACATTGGTCTTCAAATATTATGCACTTCAAAATCTTGTCAACTGCTCTGAAAACAAAGCTCAGCGAAAGCATGCTTAATCAAATTGAAATGGGAAAGTGTTTTTATGAAGCAAACACAATCAGCCTTCTCAAGCTTTATTACTGGTTTTTGTCAATATCACTATCCACTGGACTTATGTGATGAGGCCTGTCGTTATTGACTTCAATAATTAATGGATTGTACAATATATTTTGGAAGACCATATTTATCTTCAGTGAATTTCCTTCCACAGGAATTCTGCTTCTGCTGTTTTTTGTAATATGATATTTGAGCTGTAGATGGGTGAATATATTTCTATTGGAATTGCTGTTCAGGATTGTGTCGTTGACAAAAAAGCTGTTTCAATAGTTTATCACAATATATCTGTCATTCATTGTGACAGGCCGATATTATATCCCATGATATCAGGATGCCAAGCCCGATTCCCAAGTAGCTATGGTGCATTATGTATATGTTGTCTTTTTATTGTAATTAACAATAATTAATTGTTGTTGACATACTTTTATTCAGAAAATGTGTTTTATATAATAAAGTTAATATTTGTATTATGCCGTTCACCTGCTAAATGACATTTATTTGACATATATATGCGTTGTAGATAAACATACTTTGGCTGAATCCACTGATACTCATTGAAATATCATATTCCTACAGCTACTTTTTGACAGCGATGCAGTTGTCTTTGGTTGATTTTGCAGCGGCAAAACACAGTTTGAATATAGATTTCTTGAACATGAGAACGTTGTCTGAGTCACTATTCAATCAGGTTTCACATTGGGCTGCGAGCAAAGTAACAATAGCCCCAGCACATATCAGAAAGATCACCACTACTAGAAGAGAAGGAGGATTACCGCAAAAACATGTGTCACGCTGCCATGGTAACTGGCCCAATGAATGGTGCTCAAAAAGATTTGAAAATAATACATTTCTAAATTGAAATTGATTTTGTATATTTAGAAGAAAAAATTAAAAATTAAACTTGTATCATTCAAGACTGCAGAACCCATTGCACATGGAGGAGCTTTGGGACTATAAGGTCAAGTATTGCTTTGTCGCTCTTGTAAATGTCTGCTAGCAGTAATCCACCCCCTGGTCAACACAATATCCGAGGTTGCCATCAATCGAGAGTAATGTAGGCAAGAAGGAGCAGGAGGAAAGCGATACAGGTCGTGTCACGGCCAATGCACACTTCTCTCCTCCATCTCTCCATCCTGCTAATAAGATCACTGCATCTCAATACCGCCTGCTTTTTTGCCTGTCTGAATAAATTAAAACTGCATTACATAATCAATCCTTCAGCTCTGAGACTCACACCTAGCTTGATCAAATGCCATAGGAGTAAACAGACAAGCACCTCTTACAGCTGCTGTCATTAACGCTGTGTCTCGCACCAGATGACCTGCTGTGCGCCTCTTTTCTACACTTCAAAAAAAAAAAAAAAAATCAAACGCAGCATCGCAAATCCAAGAATGAAATATGTGATACCGCAAAACGTGTATTTGGGTCAATGCAAATGAATGCAGTCAAATCCATATTCTGGAAAAGGGAAATACAGGGCACTTGTTGTAATCCACTAATGAAATTGTAGACACATAGAGAGGCAATAAAAGAGGTTTGCAACTTAAATCACTTGCGTATCTCATGTTAGTAGCGCAACTACATCAGCATTCACCGCACTGCCAGCCCCACTGCATTCCTACATAGCACAGCTGCACCAAAGCACCTCACACTCTTCCCTAGCAAAGGCACACGCACACCTTTCTTTCAAAAAGCCAATCTTACCATGTTGGTGACGTGAAACTGCTCCGCAAGCGCATGCATGGAGAGGTCCAGTTTCATACAGTCATCATATTTGAATCCCTTGTTTCTCGAGGCGGCACTCAAAGCAGCTGAAAAGATGCAGAGGTTTTCCAAAATCAAGTCTTGTCTCCCCGACGCAAGACCAAGTGATCTCGCGGTCTGTCCACCCTGTGTCTGCCAGCCCTATTATGTAATACACTTATACCCCTAGTCCACGAGCCAATCAAAGATGCGCAGCCTAAAACCAGTGAGAGATCCACGCACACCCTCTCTGTACACACCTCCCCTCCCTCTGAGTGCACTAGGAAACTATATTAACGCCACCTGCCCACAGGGAGTTTACCAATGTGTGAAAGACCAGAGACAGGTGCATATAGGATTACACCACATATCATCTCTCACAAAGCACATTGTTGTACATGTGGAATGAGCTATCACCATGACCATTGCAGCATATAATGTTATAGCTCTATCTGTTTTCAATGAGGTCACCATAGCATTTCAGATGTCCTTCTTTGAGCAAGGACGTGAAATGGTGACTTGGCTTTTCTTTAAAAAACTTCATAATTAGAAAAAAATCATTGCTTCTCAAAAACCATTGCCACTTTACTTTGGATACATTGATGTGCATTGCTTTGGAAATCAAGCTGACTTGGACTGGAACTATTCTCAAACAATGCACTAAAAATTGTGTAGGTCAGGCATAAGGATGTGTGCCCCCTATTCATAAAACATGACTGCCAAACAATCCTTTGTACACCTTCTGTACAGCATTCGACACTCACCCAGAGATGCCAGCACTTAGCCCTGAGTGTGGGAACACATACATACAATATAACTTCATACAGTCACTATTAATAGGACCACCATGGACAGCTCCAGGACGGGCTTTTAGCATATCTATTTCTGCTATTCATTCAACATTCATGACTCCAGAATCATGTCTTTTATTAGACCCATATAGTCCAAGAGAAAAGCATAGAGAAATGTTTCAGCCTGACATGTCTTTCTACTTGGAGAACATCTCAAAGAGCTTTTCACATAAAGTAGAATGCATATTTTAGTTGTTCATTTCAATCTGCTTATGCAATAAAGTGAGAGACTGAGATTTGCAGGTGTTGTAAAAAATCATAAATAAAAGAAAAGTGGGTTGTGAAATGGAGATATCTAAAATGGGGGAAACCTGAAGTCATTGAGGGCCTGCTTCATTAGCCCTTATTCTGTTAGCTCCTCAATGTGCATTAGTTGAAATACCTCTAGAACCTGCACGATGCAACACACACCTTACTGCTTTCCTGTTTGTTTATTTATTTATTTGACAAACATCACATTTACAGAGGTGGAGAGCTCACTGGCCAACAATTAGCTGCCATATTGTAGATGGCTACACGGTCCCACAATGCAAGAGCATGCTTGCTCAAGCACTCTGTTGTTACAACACTCCAGTTTAGTCACAATGAACACAAGTATTGCATTATTCACATACTCCATGCGCATTGTCCACTGAATACAACATGGAGGAGAGGGAGAGCAACGTAGGGGATATGTTTATGTGTGAGGGGTATGATTTCCCAGCCATCACAGCGGAGCATCACAGGACTGTATCCGCACAGTGATACGAGCATCACAACACTAGCTTTCACAGACGGTGAGAGGACACAAGACATAACGGAGGACTGGGGATGGGGTAACAGAAATACATTATGTTGTACCAACGTCATTCATTTCAACGCGTAGCCGTGATGAAGCGCCGGGTGTCCCCGCTCTCGACCACCGCGCACCGCCTCCCTCTCCTCTCCGGTGCGGCAGTCCGGGCCCCGAGCGCAGATCCATTAACGAGTACCGAGGATGAACATCAACAGCACGTTCACAAGCACCAAAACCGCTATCACCGAAAACACCACGCAAGTCTGGACATCCAAGGCCATGGCGCAGCGCTGCGGGCCGAGGAGAAGCGCTCTCACAGGCGGCTCTGCTGCGCTCCACGGTCTAGCCGCTTTTCCTCAGAACCATCGAGTAATCCACCATTACAGAGAAGAAAAGGGAAAAAGAGATGCCCCTACGCCTCTTCACGCTACGTCCTGTAATTCACAAAGGCACAGGAACAGATGCATCATCCTCACCATCATCATCGTCATCAGTGTGCACCGCGCGCTCTCCCCGCTAGTCAACACCTGTGGTGCTCTCTCCCTGAGCCGAGCCGAGCCCTCTGTGCGCAGGCTGTGCGCAGGCTGTTCGCACTGGGCTCCAGGAGCTGCTGTGGCTGTGCAGTGCCTGTGCAGTCCTGTGCAGTGCCTGTGCCCGAGAGGCGCTCCTCTATTAATTCTGATCAGCACTCCACTGCGAGACAGCCGGCAACAGCCATCACCTCGTGTCGGGGGAGGGGCACACGCAGCCCCCCAGACTGCGCTGACCATGGGGCCACAGGCATAACCTCATTCATCTCCCCGCGCTAAAAATACCACTGTGATTTATCATTTATCATTAGAGCGGTGATACCAGGGGATGGGCGTCAGCGTAATACACGCACGTCCCTCTTAGAGATTATCACTACACAATTTTATAGGCACAATTTTATCTTCCCAGAAAATGGATCTGTTGTCATCCATCAGTCAGATTCAGATGCACTTTATGTGATAATCTACAGCGGGCTGATGTCAGCAGCGATAAGACACAGGCCATTAACAGAACACTGCTCTGCTTTTGATAAAAGACAAATTCAGTACAATATCTGCCACCTCTGCACTAAAGCCAGTCAGGGATGGACACATACGCTGTGGCTATCCTACTAAAGGTGAAAGTAGGCTATTATCACTTACATGAGTTGGGATGTGCCCTGTTACTTTTAAAGACAGATATTTGTTCTGTTTAGGTGATCCAATGGATTAGATCACCTAAACAAGACACAATATAAATATACAGCTGTGTAAACCTCTTCCGAAGAAAAGTCCACATGCATTTAACTAATATGGACATGTATTCTTCATTGCTTCATTTGATCTAATTGTATTACTAACTTTGAATATGTGCATCGAGTTAAGGGCCACCAGGGCCCTAACATGAACAGTTACTCTATCTGATTGAGTATTATCTCACATGGTGGGATAGTACTCAATCATACTCAGATTGATCATTACATATTTACAGAAAGTATGAATCAATGTTACAGTGAGCTCGAGTGAAATGAGGAAATACATGATAACAGCTGATTGATGCACAGTATAGAAACGTTCCCAAGAACAACAATCTAACAGATCAGAATCACAGCAGCCTCTAAAGCCTAAGGGGGATGTCATGTTTACTATTCTAACCCCCCAGAGTTACAGTATAATACCAGTGCTTTGACTGACAGGCTGAAGTCCCCATATGCCACATGCATTTGGTCCCCTGGTTGCATCATTATTTAGTAGCCTTTATCTTGAAGAAGCTTCTCTCGCTGCATAATATCTGGCCTGCAGCTCAGGTCCGGATAGACCTATAGTTGTTTCTGTTGCTATTTTTTTTCAGCATTTTTTTTTGTTGTTGCTTATTTACAGTTTAGCTTTTTCAGCATATGGGTTCCAGCTTTCCATTTCATGCAACATTTTGATGAACATTTTTTAGGACTCTAATTCACAAAGGCAACCATCCTACTGACATTAATCTCAAAAAGCAATGTACATGCTTATCTCTGAGATCGCAGAAGAAAATCATTGTATCGGCCATCTTTGAATTACCTAAGCTATGCATGTACTGTATCAGACAGATGGTATGTTTTAATCAATGGGATCTTCAATGCAGGAGAATAATGAAGATATGTGCTGTTCCTAGAATATGAAAGGAATAGGTATACGATAATTATACTTAGGCAAGGCAAGGCAAGGCAAGTTTATTTATATAGCACAATTCATACACAAGGCAATTCAAAGTGCTGAACAAAACAAGAAAGCATTAAAATCATAAATAATCACAAAACATTATACTTATCATTTACCCTCAATCAATAGAATAATACCCGTTTTAAAGTAGATACATTTATAGTCAAGCAGTTTGTGAAGAAGAGTTGGAAAAAATGCTCAAATGTACTGTCAATCTAATGACATCACATTATTGCGAGACAAAAGCCATGAAACTTGAAAAACAACACATTATGACAATTGAATGATTAACTCAACGAACTGAAAGTAAATTATGGTCTTTTAATCTGTCAATAATGCTTCATATGTGGACACGCTTATTCCATGAATGAACTGGGAATTATCTATAATGTGTTGCTGCAATCTATAGTTTTCTGCATAATGTCCCTAAAATGCAATAATTTTCCATATATAGAGAAAAGAAATTGCAGGTCAATAATGTGTTGATAAAATAATATATGTTTTGAGATGATCCATGCAAAGCTTTATTTGAAGGAAATTTGACAACACGCTTCTTCCAATCGGAACCAAACACTTATGCCGGTACCACTTTGCAACTCATTTGCCTTCTCCTAATCACCACAGCTGTATAACGCACACACAAACACACACACACACACACACACATAAGAAGTATATAGGAAACCGCAGCAGCTCTCAGCCAGGAGAAAAAGAGAGAGTGAGAGAGAGAGAGCTTGGGGATGGGATCAAAGGAACATGTTTAAAAGAAAACGACCAAACGGGGTGCACTATATCTGTATTTTTTAAAGCCATAAATAATTTCCCGAGCACTTTGGGCATATACATGCAGATAAAAGCCATTCCAGGCCTTTCAGTGTGGTTGCAAAAAGCCGTACCAAGCATCACAGAAAAACTATGACATCCTCAAACACGTACATATATATATTAATTATTTTTTTCTCTTTTTATTGGTGTGTGTGTGTGCGCGTGTGTGGGTGTGTGTGTGCAGATTACATAAGCCTGCCTGGCCTGGCCTACCTCCTCAGTGGGCTCCCTCTCCGATCTCGCTGACATTTAGACAACAAAAGGTCGAATCTGAAAGTCTAAATCTGAGCACACACCAATGCTAATGCTCTCATGCATATACAGCAGGGGCACAGTGAGTGAGACCAAAGCCCAATCTGTCACCAGTCGACGAATCACACCACAAGACGGCCACGCATTTAAATCAGTTTTTCTCCAAATTCATCTACAACCAGCTGTACATTATGAGTACATCACCAGGAAATGTTTGTGCATATACATGCACATTGTCATGATGACAATAATAATAATGGCAGTAATAATATGTGGGTTTTTATATAGGGCTTTTCAAAATAACTCCCAAGATGCATATGATGGCACATATGGGCCGTTACATTAGGGCAGATCTGGGCCAATTCAGGGCCCGATTCCCGTTTCTATATGTGGACCATTGCCATCTGCTAACCTCATCTCATTCACCACCAGGTCTAATTATTCTTTATTTAGATGATTAGGAGTCAATACCCAATGCAGGTCTGCCATTATGTTAAACCACACTATGTATTTAACTCTCCATAATGAACACAAAACGTAATGAATTATAATAAAAACAAGTTCATATAATAGCCAACAAATTTTGGTTCAATCCAAGCAAAACTGTACTCACTTTGACAACTCACAGTGGTAACGTTGCATCATAGCAGATCCAGCATCAAACAACTAAGAACAGGTTCAAAGAGGTCAACGGGACTGATCAAACAAACCATTAAATTAACTTGCATGGTGAAAATGCTAATTTTAATCCACAAGAAACTGCTAACGCTTGAATTATTGTGGCTGATAAAAGTAACGGTTGAGCAATTATGTGAAGTGGGGGCCCCTGAACCTGCTGCTAGTTTGCAGCAGGAGAAAATACCAGTTGAAGTGTCTTTCCAGGAAACATTTTCAAAAGGGAGGTGGTTGCTGTGCTGCAGTACTTAATGGCCTGGAACGCAGAATATAGTACATAAATGGTATGTGCTTATTGAGTGAACATTCTATTTTAGTTATTATTTCTTTATACAAACAACATTGGGTGCAGGGTCTTCATTTCACTTAGTATTTTGTAAAAAGTGTTGAAGATGGCACACTATACAACATGATTTTATGTTGTATATTTTGACAAATTACACAATACAACTTCCATCCATCCATCCATCCATTTTCTTCCCCTTAATCCATTTCTGGATCGGGGGGGTGGCAGTCAGAGCTGCACCCAGTACACATAGCACCAGCCCCTCACTGATCCTCCTGCAGGTGGTGAGTCCACAGGAGCCCTGATTATTCAGCAGGGGCTTCAGGCAAAGTAGGGTTAAGTGTCTTGCCCAAAGACACAACGACAGCAGATTTTCGGGTTAAGACTGAGCTTACGTGAGGAAATGGGTGGAGTCTGCTCTGCTCCTGCTGTGTCTGATAGAAAACCTGCAGCCACAGCGGCTCTTTCTGTACCGGTTTGGACACCTCTGCTCTAAGGCCAATGCTCTACCAACTGAGCCACTGTTGCCCCCACTATACAACATATTTTGACAAATTGTGCTCCAAAGTTGTTAGTAGTTCTGATTCATCTTTCTACATAATAGTTTTAGTTCTATAGTTCTGATTTTTCTACATCAGAAGTTGAACTATAGAAAGAATTTTCAAAATAAGTTCTTTTTTTACGACAATAAACTTTGGAACCAATATATCCTCCATCACAATGTGACCAAAAGCATGCAATAATTACTCATCTGTCATTTTTCTCATGTTTTCCTAACAGCATTCCTGGACATTTACATTTTAGAGGGCAACAGTAAATGTTCTTGTTGTTACAGCGCTTGGTATAAAATCTATACTAGTCCCATCCAGTCCCCACACCACACAGAGAGGAGGCCTTGCTCTCTGCATCTGAATTGGACCTGTTCTCCCGAGGGACGCCCACTGCTCTGCACCCGGACACCAGCCACAATTAAGTCAAAGGACAACTTCATGGGCAAACAACAGAGGTCTCTTTAATGTCAACACACTGGATCCACTCCAAGAGACGCCGGTGTCAAAGCAAAGTGAGGTTTGATTGCATCGTGGATAAAGAATGTTTTCCTACGTGTGCCGTTATGACAGCTAATTATGGAAATCACAAGCTGGGGTGCCTAACCTTTTTAAATAAACACAGTGTTTGTCCCAACAGAAAG